GCCGCGCGGTTCAGCAAAGGTGCCCCCGCCTGCCAATCAGCTGGTCCCCGCATCGGGGCACCTCCCCCGTGGAAAGCGAACTGCGACCTCCCGGTTCAAAGGTCGCCGTGCACCCCCACCCACCGGCCCCTCCCGGACGCACCCACCTTCACGGACAGCGTCTCCTTCTGACTCGATCCGGACCTCTGCCGGGAGACGCCCCGACATTCCTGATCGCTTTCTTTTCTAATCAGAACTTTTATTCTATTTTTAAAATGTTTTTATGGATGTCAGAGAGGAAGGGAGAGGGAGAGAGAGGAACATCAACGAGGAGAGAGAACCATGGACCGGCTGCCTCCTGCACGGCCCCCACTGGGGATGGAGCCCGTAACCCGGGCCTGGGCCCTGACCGGGAATTGAGCCGTGACCTCCTGGTTCATAGGTCGACGCTCGCCACTGAGCCACACTGGCCGGGCTCAATCAGCCCCTTTGGTGTTTGGAAAACTCTCATCCATGAAAAACCTTCTTGTGAGAGGACGTCATCCCTCAGACACACTCAGTCTGTGACCGAACCGTGGCTGCCAACGCCTCCATCCCCATAACGTCTCCGTGTAGACGTTCCCCCCGAGCCACGCGGGCGATGAAGGGCTCCCTGCAGGCCGTGCCGAGCCCGTGGTTTATGGCACCAGGCCGTGCGGGCCCCTTCCCATCGGCTGAGGAAACCCCGCAGAGCCAGCCGGGACAGCCCAGCTGTGGGGAGAAACCTCCGTGGACGGGCAGCGTTGGTCTCTGTGGCTGGCTCCTCTGTCGTGTGTGCACGTGTCTTCATATCACGTCCCTGTCTCCACGCCGTGTCTCTGTCCCATCCGTCCTGTGCCATCACCACCGTCCATCCTCCCGTGGCGAGCTCAAGGCCATCTCTCTCAACGGGATGTCCAGGTGGGCGTGGAGCCCGCTCGCTGGGGCCAAAGTGTGTGGCCAGGTTCCGTGGCCTCATTCCGTGGCCTCATCCCGTGGCCGTGGCGCTCCGGGGCCCGTCGTGAGCCGTCCAGTGGCTGCACAGCGAGGGGGGAGGGGAGGTCCGAGAGGGCGCCCGTGGCGAGGGGAGCGCCCCGCCCGGACGCGGAGCCGCTGAGAGATGTGCCCGTGGCTCTGTGTTGCGTGTCACTCATCTGTTGTGCTTTCTTCCTTCTGTTGCCCACCCAGCATGGCGAGCCCGCAACCTCACCGTGCCCCCTTCCCATAACGCTACCTTTGTGCCCACCAATGACTCTGCCTACTCCAATGCCTCTGCGACCATAGGTGAGCACGCGCCCCCGTCCCATCCGCCGCCGGGCGCCCCCGGGTGTGCGGTTCCGTGTGAATTCTCTCTGTCACAGCGAGCGGGCGGGCACGCCGACGCCCAGGAAAGGAGGAGACCCAGGGTTTCTGTGTTTTTTTTTTCAATATATTTTTATGGATTTCAGAGCGGAAGGGAGAGGGAGAGAGAAAGAGAAACATCAGTGATGAGAGAGCATCGTGGACCGGCTGCCTCCCGCACGCCCCCCACTGGGGATGGGCTCTCGACCCGGGCACGTGCCCTGACGGGAATCGAACCCCCGTGACCCCCTAGTTCACAGCCCGAGGCTGAACCCCTGAGCCACCCCCGCCCGGCACGGCCAGGCTTTTCCGAACCGTCTGCTCCTTTTCAGCACAAAACAGACCCAGGACGGAGGCTCTAAAAATAGAGGCTGTTTGGATTCCTCACGGGCTTGTGCTCTTGGGGGGAGGATGTTAAGAGCCCCGTCAAGCACTGGGCCTCTCACCAACATTAAACATCGCTTTTCTTCGCTGGATTCTTTGCTAAATCGTTAGAAGCTGTTTTATGCAGCACACACCCGCCCGTGTCCGGGGAAACGGTTATCTTATCTGTTACTGGAATTTCTTTAAATCATTAGAAACAGTGTTATAAAACACACACCCGCTGCTGTCACGGAGAAATTATCTTCTCTAATAACTCCCACGCTCCAGGCGTTCCCTACGCAGCGCAGAGCGAGGGGGTGACGGCCAGTCTGCTGGACGTCGGCCCCCTAACCTGCGGCCGCACTCTGATCCCCCCCCTTTTTTTCTCTTTTTTTAAAGGAAAGACTTACGGTCTTTTTTCCCCTCCTTTTTATTGATCTCAGAGAGGAAGGGAGAGGGAGAGATAGAAACATCACTGATGAGAGAGAATCGTGCACGCCTCCTGCACGCCCCACACTGGGGATCGAGCCCACAACCCGGGCAGGTGCCCTGACCGGGAATCGAACCCGGGACCCTTCCGTCCGCAGGCCGACGCTCCAACCACTGAGCTCACTGGGCGGGCTGATCTCTTTTTATCGCGTAACCATTGCTCGCCCAGCTGGGAGGTGTTGGGCTTCCAGCATCAACCTGGCCCCCGGCCGGTCCCGCTGAGGGCTTCCCGCAGCCGCATTCAGCGACCCCTCAGGCACATGGCCGAGCGCAGGGGAGGTGTCCGGGCGACTTTGACCCCGTGAACTGCAAATGCCTGATTGCTCCGGCGTTTACAGCCCTCGCTTATCGACTCTGTCAGCCGGCGATGCGCAACCTTCTCCACCGCACGGCACACGTGGGCTAATCACGAAAATTCTGCAGCACAAATATATATATATATATACAGATTCATTCACACCAGACGGCTATTGTTGTGTTAGCTGTTGTCATTGTTTTTTGTTGTTGTGTGTGTGTGTGTTTTAAAATATATTTTCATTGATTTCAGAGAGGAAGGGAGAAGGAGAGAGAGAGAAACACCCATGATAAGAGAATCATGGACCGGCTGCCTCCTGCACGCCCCCGACTGGGGATCGAGCCCGCAACCCGGGCCTGTGCCCTGACCCAGAATCGAACTGTGACCTCCTGGTTCATAAGTTGACACTCAACCACTGAGCCACGCCAGCCGGGCAATGGATATTAATTTATTATTTACTATTCACATCAGCTTATAGACCATTGATAATTTAATGATTAATGCTGAAATATGGGATGTTCGTGTCAGCCCACATCCCATAGCAATATGTACTAGTAGAGACATCTAGATATATAAAAGCCTAAGCGACTGTTCAACCAGTAGCTATGACGCGCACTGACCACCAGGGGGCAGACGCTCAACGCACAGGCATGGAAACATGGAACAGACTGATGAATCTCAGAGAGAAGGGGGGAGGAGGGGAGGGCAGGAAGAGATTAACCAAAGATCTTATATGCATACTAGAGGCCCAGTGCATGGATTTGTGCACCGGTGGGGTCCCTTGGCCTGGCATGCGGGGACGAAGCCGGCAGTCCGACATCCCCCGAGGGGTCCCGGATTCTGAGAGGGCGCAGGCCAGGCCGAGGGACCCCACGGGTGCACGAATCCGTGCTCCGGGCCTCTGGTTTCCTTATAAACACGAACGGTGCCGAGCGTGTAGGTGGGTTGGCGGTGGGAAGCGCCCCCGGACTCCCGGCCTCAGGAGGCCGCTCACGCCGGTGCCTTCTCCCCAGACCTCGTGGAGGGCAAGGTGGGCAAGGGCATCTACCTGCGGGAGCAGAAGGGCGTCACGCTGCTGCTCTACGGGCGCTACAAGGCCTCCTGCATCAGTAACCCCGCCCAGTGCGGCCCCGAAGGTGAGTGGCCGGATTTGTTTTGTTTTGTGTTTTTAATATATTTGTACCGCTTTCCGAGAGGAAGGGGGAGGGAGAGAGAAACAGCGATGATGAGAGCATCGTGGACCGGCTGCCTCCTGCACGCCCCCCGCTGGGGATCAAGCCCACAACCTGGGCCTGTGCCTGACGGGGAATCCAACCCGGGACCCTGCGGTCTGCAGGCCGGCGCTCTATCCGCTGAGCCACACCAGCCAGGGCTGGATGGATATTTAAATGGAAGCAGCCGGGGTTCAGAGCAGCTGTCTGTGGGTGAATCGGACTCGGCGACAAGCCGGCGGGGGCCTCTTTTCCTTCCTGGACAGAGAGGCGTTTGGCCCAGACAGGACTCAACAAAACGCGTTTTTAAAGGCAGCGGCGTGTCTGGGGAAGTGGACGCCGCGCCTCCCGCGGGGAATCCGTGTCGTAACAAGCGTTTCGCCATGTGCCGTCTCCCCGGGAAGCGGCTGCTCCTCGGGTTGGGGGGCCCGGCAGGGGCTCGGGTATCCTGGGAAGCCGCGAGGAGAGGCTGGGGGGACCCCGTCTTTGGGGCTCAGCCGCCACCTTCGCAGGGAGCGGGCTGTGGGCTCCAGAAGTGGCCAGGTCCTGGGACAGCACAGCGGCCCCCGAGCAGCCCCCCAAGTCCCGTCTGTCGGGGTGACCACATCGCAGGGCACTTTTCTGTGTGTGTTAACCTTCACCGGGGGATAGTTTTCCATGGATTGTTTTTTGTTTTGTTTTTTAGAGAGAGTGGAGGGGAGAGAGGGAGGGAGAGAGAGAGAAGCATCCGTGTGAGAGAGACACATCCACCGGTTGCCCCCTGCACACACCCCGCCCAGGGCCAGGGGTGGAGCCACATGCCCTTGACCAGGAACCAGACCCGGGACCCTCAGTCCGCCGGCCGA